TGTGGTGTCTATTTTTCTTAATAACAGAGAGGAAGAAACTTGTGCATCTATTACCCTTAAGACTCCAAGCTGTTCTTGAATTTTGCTTGTAAAAAGATAATTCACAATCAAGCAGCTTGTTATAAGAGACAATGCTACTCTTTTCATGTGCAATTAGATCAGCATTAAGAGGATCAAGTTGGAGAGAGTTTTTTGCACAACCTCTAGCTCCCTTTTTGCTCTAAGAACCTACTCACTAATATTATAAAAAACTCTTTTGTTCAGATCCTTCAAAGCATTCCTCAGGAGTTTCAACTTTGAACAAATTTTAAACATTGTGTGACCCTCAATAGATGACTGCCATATAGAGGAAACAGTGGATAGATAATTTTCATGCTTCGTCCATATTTTGTAGAACTTAAATGGCTTTTTCCCTTGATCTCTATTCTCATAAATTGATACTAGAGCAGGTGAGTGATCAGAGAAGCTTGGAGATAAGAATTCAACATGACTTGCATTGTACTTATGTACACCAGGAATCATTTATAAGAGCTCTGTCTAACCTACTCCAAACTCTAGTGGTAGAGTCTTGCTTGTTATTCCAAGTGAAGAAACAACCAATAGTTTTGAGATGTTTAAGTTGTCAGTCTTCAATGAACTGATTGAAATCCCTGGTGTCAGCATCAGTGAGGATTAAGCCTCCTATTTTTTCATCATTGCTTGACAAAGCATTGAAATCTCCACACAAAAGCCAAGGCACTCCCATAACAGTTTGATGTATCTGAGATAATTCAGACCACAAGACTTTCCTAGTATCCTGATGGTTACACCCATATACTGAAGTAATGAGGCATTGTAATCTTCCATCCAAAGAATTTACTGAACAGGTAATATGCTGAGCTGAAACATAGTTAATCTGGATGTTCATTAAACTTGGATCCTATAGAATAATGATCCTTGCATTTTCAGTACTAATAGCATTTGAGAAATAATTCCAGGTATTAGCAATTCTTTTAGCAACAGATTGAATATTCACATCTTTAATTTTTGTTTCCAAAAGAGCAAGAAAAGAAACCTGATACTGCTTCAGATATTGCTTAACTAAATGCTGCTTAGGGGATTTTTTTAATCCCCTAACATTCCAAAACGTCAGGTTCATAATTTATAGATTTGTACCCCCCCCCCTTCTATATTAGAGGGATCCTTTATATCCATTATCTTTATCAAATGAGAAAAATAATTAATTTGCTTAGGATTTTCCATCATCTTAACTCTTTGAGTAGGAGACCAGGGGGTAGTTTCTCTTAAGGATGTAACAGACACCATATTCTGTAAAACATGCACAGGGTAATATTGCACAACATGCATAGGAGAACCTTCAACCTGTAAGATAGACTCCTTTTCCTTAGTTATTTTCTTTTTTCTACTTTGGAGCCAAAGGTTAGATTGCCTAGCTTCCTGTTGCCCAACTTCAAAAATATGCACAGGATTGTGTGCATGTTTAGGTACAGAAATTTTTATAGATACACTACTTTGCTCATCATGCACATTTTTAGACCCCCTAACCATAATCTGAGCATCTTGCTGATTGTTATCTACCACATGTCCTCCAGTCATAGCAAAATGTGCCCCCTTTTTATGCTCATGCACTTTGCCAGATTCTTCAAAATTAACCTGTGCACTTTTTTGCTTCTGTTTTGGTACCCATTTTTGAGTCCCAATCATTCTTCTACAAAAGTTAGAATCATGACCAACCACTTTGCAATGGTTACACCATCTTGGCTTTAAATCATAAGTGACATTTTGTTTAAAACACTTTCTATTAGGCCCTTGTATATTTATTTGATCAGGGAGAGAAGAGGGCATTTTCACCTCAACAAGTACGCATGCATAAGACAATCTCTGCCTATTAGCAGTAAGCTTATCAGTGGTAATTGGTTTTCTAATAACACTCACAATCTTGCTAATGCTATTTGCGTGTCACAAGTTTAACCTTAATCCAGGCAACTGAATCCACATAGGGTATATGTTATCCTTTATTTTTTTTTCAATATCATTATCAATTGACCATGGTTTTAAAAGAAAATGTCTAGATCCAAAGAACCAGGGGCCTTTTTCAAGAATTCCATTAATCTCTTCATCATTATTGAACTTGAAAAGAAATATCCCAGGATTTAAAATACAGATTTCAGGAGTTGACAACAGAGCCTAAACTTTGTGAACAAAAGTTTCCATTGCTTTAAAACTAACATTCAGTCCCAAAACCTGACCTACGAGAGAGGATTTCCAATAAGAAGCTCCTTCAATCCACTCATCATCCTCACAAATAACAGCATTCCCAGTTTTAGGTGTCACATAATTCAATACTAGACCATTACCAGGATTTCTATTGTTTGTAAAACAACTAATCCAACTTTTTTTCTCAGCTGGAACTGGAGCAGGATTTTTATTTGAATCTAAAGGAGGAAACTCATCATTCTCAGCATAATTATTTGAATTAGAAGTGTGTTTAACTCCACTTTCCTCAACTTTATTTCCAGATTGCAAAGGAACAGTAACTTTATCAGACACAGTCTGCACTCGATTTGTACTATTAGAAATTCTTTGAGCATTAAAAGAATTACCAGATTCAAGAACAGATTTAGTTTTCAAAATTCCAGATATGTTACCATCTTCAACGGAAATTGAATCTAGCAATGAATTTGAAATCAAAGGAGAACATCCTGTATGAGTTGGATGAGGAAGATTTACCTCCCTATCAACCTCATCTGCTCAAGAAACTCAAGATTTAGAGCTAGAAGCTTTGTAGGATCCCGATTTCATTGAAGACTGAGGCCTAGACTCCAAAACCTCAAAATCAGAACTAAAATCTTCATCAAGCTGGCGTTCAAGAAAACCTGATACACGATCAAGCTGACGATCAGAGACTCGATCATGTAACAAATTTGAAGAATTCAAAACCTCAGTCATAGATCTAGACTTCCTTGCTCCTTTAGGACCAGTAGATCCCATTGCTATGGAAACTTCATCATCTTCTTCACTACAAGTACCAGATTGATCTTCAGAAGACATCGAATTCAATTTAGGAGCTCTCAATCCAATCTCAAGAATTCTTTTTCCACTGTTTTTCTTCTTTTTAGCTATCAAGAAATCAAAAATATCTCGATGGGGGCGCAAGATAGCATCAAGAAAATCGCCTGCTATCCTGCACCTTCAGACCGCCACTAGAAAGATTTCTAAAATTGTTTTTAAGACATCAATGCATACACATTTGCCTACATGGCTGGGACCTTGTGGGCTCTACAAAGCTTTTCGTAATTATTTGATTCACGGTTGAGATCAAGAAACAGTGCTAAAAATTGTAATTAGACTAAAAATTCCACTCTTTAGATTAACTGAGAGGGTCTAAAAAATTATTGAACTTATTCTTCTGTTAAAAGAACTTAATATATGCATAGAATATATTCTATAAAAGGAGCATAAAACTCACATTATAAAAGAATAAATAGTTTAATTCATGGAAAAGAATGTGTCTATCTTGCATGGGTCACTGACATTCACATATTAAAACATTCACAGCTGTAAAATTTTGATCATCTATATTTTTGAGAAAGACATGCATGATTGGTACCCATACTTATACTATTTGTTAAAGTTTATAAATATAAAAAAGCCAAGCATTTTCTTTTGTAAAGGAAACCTTTTTCCTGGGTAAAGAAAATTTAACTTCTGTTGATTAAGGTATACGTACGCAAACTCTTTCAGGAGCATACTTGAATATCATACAAAAAAGAGGTTAGTAGAAGATACACATTTTCATCGGTTTTGGTCCAATTTAGCATACTTTTCATTTATGTTGAAAAACTTACGTCAAATATCTTGGTAACTAGCTTGCCTTGAATGTGTGATTTTTCCAACATAAAGCAAGAATTTTTTTCCATATTAACCAATAATATACTGATCTCACAAAAGATGAATATTTAATTTAAAAAAATTCCAGAATACATAAAAAATTTAAAAATGAATTGTCAATATTTCTGACTAATTCAGTGATTTATACATGTTCTTTATGACCATGAACAATTTCTTGCAAAATTCCTTTAAAAACTCGCTACATGTGTTATTATAAGTTTCTATGGCATGTTCCTTCTACTTGTCAAGTTCATGCTGGATAATGTAATAAATACAGAAAGCATGCTTCTATTGAACCCAATTTAGTTTTCAAAGTTTACATTAATTGTCTTAGATAAATCTACAATAGTTCATGTGTCAGAGCCTTTATGATAGAGTGGTGAACTATAAACCTCAACACTCACCACAGAGCTTATTTGAAATAGCAGAGTACGATTTTGACATGGTAGTAGAGCGACCCAGGTTTGAATATTACTGGCCACAAATTTCTAAAGCAAATTAAACAAAAGGTGTCGCTCCGCGAGTCCAGATTTTAGGCCCATGAGAGGTCCCTCATCTTAGGGAGGCATGTTAGAGTATAAAATTATAGCCCCCAATCTTTACCATAAATTTTGAAGTTTTGTTGTATTAGCAGGGACCTTTGACACTTCACAATATTGAATCAGGTAACTGTGACAAATTGCCAACCAACATGCTAAACAATGATATATATGATAATCAGTATCCACTAACTTTCACTAGTGACCAGTGAATACATATCCGAATTAGTATGGAATATGTCAGAGAACATCAATGCATCTAAGATTATGCCTATATATAGGAAGTAATAGAAGCAAAAGCACAATGCGTCTGCCTTAGATCAAGCTAGGATCTCCTCCATATAAATGGTCAATGTATATATCAAGTGCTGCGACAAGTAGTAATAAAAGAGGGGGATTGAGCAACAGGCAAGATCACCTACTGCCAATAGCCAATATAGGAAGAATAATGAAGCAAGTCCTTCCACCAAATGCTAAGATATCCAAAGAAGCCAAAGAGACAATGCAAGAATGTGCTTCTGAATTTATTGGCTTCATCACTGGGGAAGCCTCCCATAGATGTCGCATGGAGAGGCGCAAGACTCTTAACGGTGATGACATTTGTGTTGCTATGAAAACATTTGGCCTTGATGAGTATGCCGACACAACTTTTAGGTACCTGCAAAAATATAGGGAGCAAGGTGAGAAAGCAAACTCCACAAAGCAAAATACGTCCATCAGAATAGATGTTCGAATGTGGTTGCTTTGCAAAAAAGGATAGTATCGTCTGAACCACCAAAGGATAGTATCTGCAACATCAAATCTATCCTGTATATGTTTGAAAATGTCTCGGGTCTAGCCATCAACTTCGCCAAATCTAACATGTTCTACAGTGGTAAATCAACCACCAAAGGACCTATCCTGGCAAATATTCTTAATTGCCCTTTCGCATCACCACCCTTCAAATATCTTGGCCTCCCAATCAAACGAGGCTCTCTTTCCAGAGCAGACTGGCAACCCCTGTTGGACTCCCTCCACCGCAAATTATCTCTTTGGAAAAGTAAATTCCTGTCCATTGACGGTCGTCTTGTTCTTCTTAACTCAGTGCTCTCATCCATCCCTCTATATTATATGTCGTTCTTCAAACTCCCCTCCTGGATCATCAAGAAAATTGACAAGATCAGACGTAACTTCCTCTGGGGCAAGGCTCCAGATAGTTCTTCAGGCAATAATCCGATCAAATGGGGGATTGTCTGCACTCCCAAAGTATGCGGAGGATTGGGTGTCATCAACCTTCATCACTTTAACAATGTGCACTCCTGCTACCGTACCTTCTCTCCTTTTATCAGGTGGTCCCTTGGCAACGGCAATGGGGTCTGTTTTTGGGAAGACAAGTGGTCTGGAGACAATTCTCTTGCTAGCCTATTTCCCAGAGCATACGATCTTGCCTTCTCCAATCATGTATCCATCTCTTCCCAAGGGAGATGGCAGGGTTCCAGATGGGTATGGAAACACATTATTAGGCGTCCTAGTAGTGATGAGGCCAGGGATCAAGTGTTAGCATTATCTCAGTACTTGTCTGCTTCCAATCTTGTGCCGTCCGTGATGGCAGACAGTCCCTTCTGGTCTTTAACAGCATCCAAGCTCTATACTGTCAAATCTTTTCATCATCTTTTAGCTGATGGTGGAATGCGTTTCAGCCTCCTTTCTACCATCTGGAACAAAGTCATGCCTAGCAAAGTTCAAATCTTCTTCTGGCTCCTTAGTTCTCTCAGATTAAAGACCAAAGACAGACTTGCCTCCCAATGGTGGTTAGTAGACTCTCGCTGTTCGTTCTGCTCTGATCAAGAAACTCACGATCACCTCTTCCTATCATGCAACCTGGCACAACAAGTCTGGGCTCCTTTTCTCCTCAAACTGGGTATTGGCTCCCTTCCATCCAACATTGAAGATTGTTTAGCAATCTGCTCTAACCACTCTATCCATGCCTCCGTTCGTCTTCTATGGGGCGTCTGCTTCCCCACCGTTAGTTGGGTTCTGTGGAAAGCTCGTAACGACCTAGTCTTCTCAAATATTTCGACTTCCCCTCTGATTATCATCAAGAAGACTGTTAACCTCATTCTCTTCTGGTCAGGGACCTCCACCTCCAAGAAGTCGCTCAAGTTAAAGAACATCATCCGTTCGTCTGGTCTCCAAGACATTCTTGAATCAAGTGCTGACAGCAACTACATGGCCTGATCTACTGATAGTACTTCTGCTTCTTTTGTATATGCATAACAGTTTTTGGTCAGTTTTTCTTTTTTCTTTTTTCTTGGTTTTGGGCTTCAGTTGGTTCTGTTTTTTGGTTTTTTATCTTAAGACATCTTCTAATGAAAGGGCCTCGATGCCTCATTCATAAGAAGATATCTTCTTTTGTAACCTGAACTTTTGGTTTAGTTTATACAATGCCTCATTCATAAGAAGATATCTTCTTTTGTAACCTGAACTTTTGGTTTAGTTTATACATACTGATAGGGAAAAGCCCTATTTTCCTTCAAAAAAATTTGTAACCTGAACTTTTGGTTTAGTTTATACATACTGATAGGGAAAAGCCCTATTTTCCTTCAAAAAAAGAATAGATATTCGAGATCAGTTGTCCCTTCTAAGAGGTCCTAATCATCAACATGGGAAGCAATCGGAAAGATCAAGATATACCTGTATTCAATAAATTATTGTAGTGTAAATAATTTGTAAGTTGCATGTATATATGCATGCAACTCACATGAATATACGTATGAGTTTTCATGTAATGCTAATTAAACTTATGTTCTGATCATCTTCAATCTGTATCCTCCCAATCTTTTGTTTCAAACGCTTGATCTCTATGGTAAGCTTTCATTATATGGGGCATCAATTAGTTACTAATTAGATTGAAAATTTTATAGATGAATATCCAAGAATGATTATTCAAATTTAATCTATGACTAAGTAAACCTGCAAACCAATTGATCAAAACTTTGACTGGTTTTGTATCTTCAATTATTCCCTTTTCTTCTTTGAGGGAATTTGTGTTTTCAATCCTATAAGACTAAGTATATGTGTGTACAATATGAAAAAGAATGTAAAAAGTGAGAACGTAAAAAGTGAAACTCCTGTCCATATCAAATTAACAAGAAATAATATTTCACAAATTGAAAGCAAATATTAATTTTATCTCTTAATCAAGAAGTTTGTTTTCAGTATAATTTCGTACTATGTCATTTCCGTTGAAACTACAAGGATAATGGAGTTTTCTGAAATTTCAATCTGTTTATTGGTGCATGTGGTAGTCTTTTAATTTGCAAGATCTTTCATAATTAGATAAAGCAAACATCCAGTATCACATTCCCCATTACTGTAAACTATATATCCTACATGGTGGACATTAATTGCTTCAGTTTCCTGATAAAAGTCCATAATTTCATGTGTTTTCCTAAACTCAAGTCATATTAAATGCCTCGAAAACATATAAACTAATATCCTCTCATGAGTTCCTAGAAACTATGCATGGAAATTTGAACACTTTGTTTTAAAAAAGGATTCCTCGAAGTAAAGTAGTGATGCATATGCATTGGTTGCGTGCTCATCCAATTAGATGGAAGTTAAGTTGGATTGAGAACAATAAAAGAAGTTCTTCTTTCTAAATTGAAGGGTTTTACTTGCATTAAATAAGATGTTAGTCCATTCTTTGTGGACCATTTGTGCAGCTAAGATGCTGAGTGAAGGCATATATAGTGCATTCAGATTGGTTATGTTGTTACTGATATGCAAATAGTTTTTAGGATCAACCACTGAAAAGATTCGCTTACGTAGATCCCTCAAAAGAAAAGATTCGTCTATGGAGATATCAACATTGCAAGCATCCAATGCTCTTTGGATGATATGCAGCCAGTCTCAAAAACAAAACATACACTAGTATAATCTTGTAGTTCGTACAATCATTACGATGAATAAATGCCTAATTAAGTCACTACTGCTAATGTATTGGACAAAGAAAGAAATATAAACACAAACTAAATTAATTTTGGCCAGCAAGGTATAACTATTATAATATGACAGTTTCTTGTGATGAATCTTAAGTTGAAGAAGTAAATGTTGGGATTGAAATGATTTATGTATAAGATCTTCTCTGAAAGCATTACACAAAATGAAAGAGAGTAGAAAGGTAGTAATAAATTAAAATGATAGAGGAAATTTAATTATGTAAAATAATTCAGGCAAGAAGTGTTATATTTTGTGCTAGAAAATTGGATAATTAGACAACCATCTATCATCATCTACCACTGAAAACAGTCAATTGAGATGGTGTTTATTTCTCCATGTTTAGAATAAAAACACTTGTGCTTTTTGTTTGTCTGAAAAAAGGTTAGTTCAATGACAAGTTTCAGATAAATCTAATAGAGAATGTGGAGAAACACAACTTTTTTGGAGGGAAAGGAGACAGTTAAGTAGAGCAGTTAACTGATAGAATCTACGAAGATGATTCATTCATTCATTAATTTGACCCTTATCCAGATGAATTTTCCACATGGAGTGATTTTAATGTTTCATGATTTTCCTATCCCTTTAAGAACATATTCATGTACCTCTTATACAATGTCTATCAATAATAATTAGCTGCTATTTTTCTTTGTTGAAGCAATTTTCAACAAGTAGCTGAAATGCAGACATTCCAAAAGTTAGCTAAACTCTATTCATTTCGGTATCTATAGTTAGAGCTTGTTAAATTCTCTACCAAACAGTTTCAATATGCATAATACTAATCTATTTATTCGCCTATGATAATGTTGCATTGGTAACATTTAGAAACAGCAATTTCTTATTTGTTTAAAGGAAAATAAAATAATTTAATTCTTCTCATGAAAATTATTGACGGTAAACAAGTTGCTATAAAGTCTTTCATCGTTAACAATCATTGACATTATTGACGCTAGAGAAATATAAAATATTTCAGTATAGTTAACAATACTTACTGAACTGTTCATTTGGACCACTCATCCTGCCAAAGTGATTTTCTAGTAGTTATCACTTTTATGTTGTTTATAGGCAAGTTGATGTTTGAAAAGGATTTAGACTAAAAGATTGTAAAACATAACGTGGTGTGCACGATATGATGTATATTCACTTTAATTAATATGTCAACTAAATATGATGATCACCTCTCATGTGAAGGATGGCCAGGAATTCGACGCCATAATAGGGCCTTGTCACACTCTCGAGCATCATTGCTGTCATCGTGCAGGTCTTTGGATGTTTACCTAATTAAAATAGAAAAATTTAAGCACGTGAAGACTACAGAATAATCAGAACATCTGTTTAGTTTTCTTGCAAACATGAAGGAAATAATCTGAGCAAAAGAGCTATCCTTTTGAAAGAAGCATGAAAAAGTACAGTTCTAATCTTGAGTCAAGCAATCCATACCAGTGATGAAGAAGATTAAGTGTGTCATTGCTTTGAAATATAGTGAGAAATTTTAGACTGGTTTAAGAAAAACAAGAATCAGATAACATGGCAATGTCTTTCAAATCCTTAAACATGTAGAAATAGCAATAAGTTATTAGTTCCTAAAATTAATTATGTAATGGAAAATTAAGATCCACAGAGTTGGAGAACAGATAACATTTTGCTTTCCCGAAATTTTTTTTTGGTACAGGTAGGAAACATCTGGTCTTCTATAAAATGGAAAATCTAATTAACAAACACTAGAAGGTTTGAGTTAGACTATTTGTTTGTATATTTCTTTTCCAAAATTTCAACCTGACAAGTTTTTCCAATTAACAGAGCTTTTAACGTTAGCAATTACCTCATGCAATACATTTCGAGGCCTTCTTCATTACGAGAGTCTGCCCTATCTTTGGGGTATTTGTTTGTGCAAGCAATTTTGATGCTTGGATACTAATATTTTGTATCTTATTGTTAAGACGATAAAAATGGACATGAGTGGAGGACTCGAGAATTTTAATCTTTTTCTATGTGATAAGCCTGAAAGTTCAAACTACAGAACCTGACCAATCAGATAATATGAATGAGTTTGAGGTCGAGAATTTTCAGACTTATAAACAGATGTAAGAGAATTTTCATGACTACTGTCCTTGAAAACAGTAACAGTAAGAGTATTTTCACTAGATCGCTTGAATACAGAGAACAAATGATCCTATGGTGAACATGAACTACGAAACCTAATGAGAGGTTTCCTAGCTGTCTGAATGTAAACAACCATATCAAAAATGTTTTACTCTGGTACGTATTGTCCTGGCTGTCTGAATGTAAACAGCCTATCAAAAATTTTTACGCTAGCATGTATTGTACATTTAGCTACTCATAAAAAATTTCTCCTTATTAAGTATCGTACGTAGTGCATTGAGCTAGTCATAAGAAATTTACCCTCACGAGGCTAAATTTCAGAAAACTCCTTTAACTTTGGACGATTACCAGTAGATAACCCTTCATAACTTTCAAAATATCAGAAAACACCGCTTAGGTTTAGGGGTTGTCAGAAAAACCACCCTTCAACTTAAGGGGGATTCTGATAACCCCTAACTTAAGGGGGCTTCTGATATTTGAATTATGGGTTTATCTGCAA